ATGTTTAAGGACTGTAAAATAGTAATAAACAGTTAAGAATTATTTTTTACTGTTGTATTTGATGGAAAACGTGTTTTAAAGACGATTTTTTGATTTATCATTTTGAATGATAAATTTTAGTTGAATGTGGTGATGAATGTTGTGATGAATGTTGTGTTGAATGTGGTGCCCAATGTGGTGCCAATTTCACGGTAGTGGTAATGTAGCCAGCCAGGTATGAATTCGCAGGCCCTTTAAGAGAGCAAAAGCTGGGTGCATTGTTTAATCTTTATAATCATCTTGGTTTTGGTTTGTCTATTAAGCAGATTTAAATTATTAAAAGCAACATAAGACTGTGTCCACAGTTTATAATTATAAGTGTATCCAATTGTATCCAGTATATCAGTTTCACATTGTCTTGTGCTAATTCCTTTACAGTCATGAATACTGCTTCTCAGCAACAGTTTATTGTCTACAGCTGTAAATTGTTCAACTGTTCAATTATTAAAGTCACACTTCACAAGTGGAATAAAGCTCTTGTCTTTCTTATTACTACAAGACTCAAGACTGATGATCAAACTATTGCTGAAAAGGATTCTAATGTCAACTGCAATTCATATTTATACCATCCCTAACTACATTCATATCTTAAGAATAATTTTAATCTTTTTGGAAAAATATTTAAGGCATTAATATTACATTCATACTAACTATGATCTTCTGGAATTTGCTTAGCACTTAGAAGAGGAAAATGAAATTTACTGAATGTAAAAAGGCAGTAATATCGTACATGGCTGGCTATATTGCCCAGATGGTGCAAAAGAAAATAAACTGTCCTGTTTGTCATGAAGCAGTTGGTTCAAGAAACCATAAAAATGTGTCTGCTTTCTTGACTTTAAAAGACAGAGGTAATTTGTTTAAGCCAACAGCAAGTGTTATAAATATGCAATGAAACAGAGAGGTGCTTTAAGAGAATGTTGGCAGCTACAAATGGAAATTTACTGCAAGGGAAAGGAATTCCTGATGGTATTGCTGTGTCCGTATTAAATGGTATAGATTTGAGGACCACATTCAAGGATCTCGACGCAGACATGTTGAATACTACTGTTCATGAAAATCATATTTACTCATTAAGACCATATATATAAATGTTACAGCAAAGTGCGAGTATACCATGTGTATGGCACATTTTTATAGTAATTTGTATATACCATGCACGATATATTTTTTGGCTAAACAGTATAAAAGTTTGTGATGCATTACGTAACGTCACACTGCAGAGTTCGTCATCGTTTGTTATCACAATGCATCACAGTATATCACAATGTATCACAATGCATCACAATGCATCACAGTACATCACAATGTATCACAATGCATCACAATGCATCACAATGTATCACAATGTATCACACTACATCACAATGTATCACAATCCATCACAATGCATCACAATGTATCACAATGCATCACAGTGCATCACACTACATCACAATGCATCACAATGTATCACAATGCATCACACTACATCACAATGTATCACAATCATCACAATGCATCACAATGCATCACAATGCATCACACTACATCACAATGTATCACAATCCATCACAATGCATCACAATGTATCACAATGCATCACAATGCATCACACTACATCACAATGTATCACAATGCATCACACTACATCACAATGTATCACAATGCATCACAATCCATCACAATGTATCACAATGCATCACAATGCATCACACTACATCACACTACTTCAAAATGCATCACACTACATCACAATGTATCACAATGCATCACACTACATCATAATGTATCACAATGCATCACAATCCATCACAATGTATCACAATGCATCACAATGCATCACACTACATCACACTACATCACAATGCATCACACTACATCACAATGTATCACAATGCATCACAATCCATCACAATGTATCACAATGCATCACAATGCATCACACTACATCACACTACATCACAATGCATCACAATGTATCACACTGCATCACACTACATCACAATGTATCACAATGTATCACAATCCATCACAATGCATCACACTACATCACAATGTATCACAATGCATCACAATGCATCACAATGCATCACAATGCATCACACTACATCACAATGTATCACAATCCATCACAATGCATCACAATGCATCACACTACATCACAATGTATCACAATCCATCACACTACATCACAATGTATCACAATGCATCACAATCCATCACAATGTATCATGATGCATCACAATGTATCACAATCCATCACAATGCATCAAAATGTATCACAATGCATCACACTACATCACAATGTATCACAATCCATCACACTACATCACAATGTATCACAATCCATCACACTACATCACAATGTATCACAATGCATCACACTACATCACAATGTATCACAATCCATCACACTACATCACAATGTATCACAATCCATCACACTACATCACAATGTATCACAATGCATCACAATGCATCACACTACATCACAATGTATCACAATGCATCACAATGCATCACAATGCATCACAATGCATCACACTACATCACAATGTATCACAATGCATCACAATGCATCACACTACATCACAATGTATCACAATCCATCACAATGCATCACAATGTATCACAATCCATCACAATGCATCACAATGTATCACAATGCATCACACTACATCACAATGTATCACAATCCATCATACTACATCACAATGTATTATACTACATCAAAATACATCACAATTTATCACAATGGATAACAAGGCATCATCTTTATTACTGCAATGTATCACAACATTACAATGTATCGGATTACATCACAATGGACTGTAATAGCGCATCACATGAGAATACAATATTGTGACTGATCACAGAACCACACTCGAGTGCCGTTATGTCTTGTCATGGAATAAGCATTGCAATAAATTCATAAAATAATTGACATATTTATTATCAGAAATCATAAATATGGGAAACTACAGTCTCCTGCCTTTCTTCAACTAGATGAAATGTTCATGCTCTCTTATGTCAAAAGTTTTATATTAACTTTTGACTTTGGAAATTGCTGGAACACGTCTGATTAACTCAGAAATTTTCAATGATTTTGGACCATTGTCGAGGTATTACAGTCCAGTCGTTAGAATTGAATATTTTTTTATTAAAAATTTCGTAAAATTTATAAGAAACTCACTAAACTATATTTCAGTGTTCGTCAAAAGTTCACTAATCTATGAACTTAATTTACGATCTGGCAACTGAACACCAATTGTCAACACTGCCTTCCCAAAATGAAACCCCACATAGATCAATGGAAACACAATGGCTTTGACTGCTTGAACCATTGGCTCGAATAGACTTTTGTCGGGCTTACTAGATTCAAGAAAATACTGCGTGCTATAAAACAAATACACTGTTAGATGCTACAAGAGTGGTAAAAAACCCTTTTACCCCTCATTCATATGACAGAAAGCTAAAATCATTCCTTGTGGCAGCAATGAGTTCTCACTTCCTTTGAAAATGAAACGTCCATCAAGTGAAGTACATCCATTTGAATTTCCTGTATATTGGGCATAATACAAAAGTGTCACATTTTGACGAAAAACATGCACCAGCTAATAAAAAACATAAGTATTGTGATGCAGTGTGACAACCAATCTCTTTGTAGCTACTTCAAGTTTTTATATAATTTTCAGTCGTCTTAACGTTTAAACTTTTATACTTAAGTGTTTTTTCTCCTTAAAATGATGTTTTTCCAGCCACAGTAATAAAGTTCAACAATTTTAATGATGCATGATAATGCATCTTCCGTTATCTTGTCCATGCATTTATTGACAATTGTTCAATAATGAAAAGGCGCATAAAATATTCATGTCATTTATAGCTGGTGCATGTTTTTTGTCAACATGTGACACTTTTGCACCAGGACCAATATAAAGGAAATTCAAATGGAGTACTTCACTTGATGGACGTTTAACACTCTCAGTGTAAAAGCATAAAAATACTTTCAGTGTTTTATTTGTGCTCTTCAGATTTTGAAACAATTCCTACTTACATTCATCTATTACAACATTTACCCTCAGAGATTTCCTCTAATTTAAAATAATGCTTTTTTATGCATGATATACTTATCAATTTGACTAGTTAAGCAATCAACATTAATGCTTCATATTCCTGCATTGATTTGCAAACATCTTTTTCGTACATTATCATAGTGCTAGCTTGGGTTTTAGCTAATATCAAAAATTTGATCAAAAGAAAATATTCATGATGTTGGAGCTTGTGTATGTTTTTGAAAGATATGTTCAAATTATGTGTAATATGACCAATATAAAAGAAATTTAATTCAGTCTGCCAATAATTTTGATTTTTCCTGTCAATTAAAAGAGAAAAGTATTCAGTATGTAATTCACTCTAAATAAGAAAGATTGCATCACAGTTTAAAATAAGCTATAAAGTTTTGTAAATTGCAGAAGTATATCATTTTGAGTTAAGGCACCATTGACATGTAGAAGGTATTCTTTCAATTTTTTAATGTCCAGGAAACAGTTATTACGACATGGTCTCTTGATTCTGTTTGAAACTTAAACCTGTACCAGACACCGATCCTTGGTAAATTAATTAGACAATAGTTACATATAGTAATAGTTAAGGTTCTGTCGAAGTTGCGGAGGAACTAACGGCAAGTGATCACTAACTGGCATATATGTACATATTTTAATTGAACGTTTAATGAAACTTGATTTTTTAATGCTAATGTTGTATGTTTTTATTCAATATAACTTGTTGAAAAAACTAGGAATTGTGATGAAATTGTTCAAAGGAATGCTTGATTATATTTAGAGATGAGACAATTCGATTAATAGACGATACCTAGCGGGGTGATTTTCGAATGAACATTAATAGTCAAAACAGGTTAATCGAAACGCAATAAAGTGATAAAATAAAATTTTAAAGAAATGAAGGTCGAATGAACCACGCAATTCAATACTAGTAAAATCGACTATTATTCGTTTGTTGTAGATAATCGACCATGCATATATAATTGCTCATCTCCGATTACAGATGCGTGAATAAAAAGGGAATGAATTAGCTTTCCGTCTTACGAACGACTGGTAAAAGAGGTTTTTTACCACTCTTATAGCATCTAACAGTATATTTGTTTCTGTGCTTTACCATTCTATGTAAATAAAACAAATGATGTACTTTGGGCATAGCACACAGTATCTTCTTAAACCTGGAAAGCCAGACGAAAGTCTGTTCAGCAGCCATTGTATTTCCATTTGGGATTTCAGTTTTTAAAGGCAAAGGATTGTATTTCTCCAGGCATTTCTCGTCTTTGTGATTTTTGATAGGATGGCTATCAATTATTTTACGAACTGACAGCCATGCTTTATCCCATGGTTGAGACCATGGCAAAACTTTTTTCGCTGCTTGTAAGCCATCTAGGTGGCACATGTTGTCATATGAAAAAAAAACGGAACTCCAATTCATTGGGTTGATTTCCTTTAACATAATGCGCAGCCAAGAAAGAGTTATCAAAAACACTTGAGAAGGGCTTTCAGATCTGAAAAAAATTAATTGTTATGTAAATGTATAATAAATACAAAGTTTTTCTGAAGATGCGCTTTTGTCAAGCATTCTCTGTGCTTACCTATAAAGAGGACTCCATTTATCGATTATTCCTCCTCCTCTAACTATAAACAAATGCCCTCTTGACCACTTTTGAAGTCTTTGTTTTCCCCCCAGTTTCCTTATTGCATTTTGTTTTTGTTGGTTCAACACAATCTCTTAAAATAGCTTTAATTGCATCTGGCTCATTATTAACGAACTCAGCATTGCCTATATGGTACAAATTAGCGTTAGCACTAGTTATCAATTGTGTTTAGAAACGACACACAATACACAGCTTTGTTGTTCCATGCATTGTTCAATAAGAATGAAACACCTACACAAGGCTTTCTAAGTTCTAACCGACAAGAAATTTGTCAAGAGATTTGGTTTTCATTTACAAAAGAATGATTTTGAGGCTTGAGGCCTGAAACTTTTGACGCCACACTTTTATAAACATTGAAAGTGCGAGAAGGCAAAGGAAAAGCACGCAAAATCAAAATAATCCAAAGTAACAATTTCCCCACCATCACGCGTGCATGTATAACTATAATCCAAATGCTGTCATAAAAAGTTATTTTTCTATCTTAAAAAAATAATAAGTTATGAATTATCGGTACCAATGTATTGAAATTTCATCATATATATAATATGGATGAGGTTAAAAAAATTCAAATTCATGCCGTCATTCACAAACCTGCTTTATAACACACTGTCATTAACGACCACTTTTACGTTAGTAGGAAAACTTAGGTTTCACTGATATATATTACTATATTAGCTACAATGTAAAACTGTTTTTCATATTGTGAAATAAACAAATTTTAGACAAATATACCTTGTGACTCCACAACACTATTTCCTACTGGAAAAGTGTCGTCATCTTTATCAAGCTTTCTCAGTGTTTCGTCCATTTTTGACACGTCATTGTTAGAAAGCAGACCTGTGTCGTCAATCAATTCTTCACCTATAAAATAGAGTAATTCTTTGTAGTAATTTTCTGTCAGCTCTGTAATAAATCATTGAGATAAATTTAGAGAAATTACCTGCAAAATACTATATACCAAAGCAAGAGCAGTTGTGATTAAGTGTAAAAGCTCTGTTAATGTATCTCGAATTGATCATGAAAAATCGGACTTTATTCTCAAGCATGATTATAGTCATGACAATTTTGGAGTACATACCTATGTTACTTGGCTTCACACCACAATATCTTAAAAACGCACACTAGTGGGTACATTAGGAAGTTTTTTCCAAATATTGCACATGCTGTTCGCAGAATGCCTTTCCATGCTGAGGCGACTCAGTGCATACATTGGGATAGTTCAGCAATGGAATACCTACAAAATTCTGAAAACAATTTCATATAATATTAAGTTACGAAAAGCAAAGGAGTAATTTTATATAAAACTAAGATAAGTACCTTTCTACGCATCATGCAATGAGGAAACATTAATTTCCATATTCCATCGGCAACCCATAGCCTTCCACATCCTATAAGTTTGATTACGAAAATATCTTAGCCTGATGAGAATCACAGCTATTTTCCAATAGAATATATTTATAGCTTTTAAACTAATTTTAAAATACAATTGCATCTAACTTACCGCGCTCTTTGCAAGTATCAGAACAATCATCTGATGTATGCTCGTACAAACTTCTCGCCCTAATTTTGTCGATTTGTTCTAGAACCCTAGAAGAGTCCCCATCTTCTTTAAGCAAACCAAAAAAGTCCAGTTGCCCCAATTCCCTCAACTCATTCTCCATCTCGCCGACCCAAAATGAAGCAGCAACTTGTTTCTCTCCAAAATATTTATATAAAACGCAAATAATGCTTACCATCAAAAACTGTAACAACGTGATAACAGTAATACAGATCTACAACATATCGTTCTCTTACTGCCACTGTATACTTCATTAAACGCTTCAGAAAAACCGTTAAATGATACCCACGAATGACAACTATAGAAAACATGTTTCATTTGTAAAATCTACTTGCTATTTTAACATTAATTAATCAAGTGATTATATTGTAACTTACGCGAGTGACAACTGCCACTGAAGCAAAGTTGAATCAACAAAACAGACTTAACAGAGATCCGTAGCCTCGATCATTTTTCTTTGTTCGGGATATAACATCCAGCCATCTTTCCCATTACCGTACTTGGAATATCCATAAAGCAAATTACAGCGATTGCATCTAAGCGAAACTTTCACTCCATCGGTAGTTCCAGAAAGATCGTGTACATGAACTTTTACTGGCTTATTGTACCTCACAAGGTCATGGTTGCACTTAATACATTTGGAGCATGGAGGTGTAAATACATGCAAGTGATGCAACTTCCTATCGGTTGTACTAGGAACTTTTAATTTAGAAGCGGACTGTAAAAGAACATTTACATCTTCTTCTTCTAAATTGGGACATACCAAAGCCAACACTTCTTTACGTACATTCACGGGGAGTACAAGCAAAGAAGACGCAACATTGGCAATAGAGCACACAAGTGACAACCCATATTTCAAAACAAGAACAAACAGAATTACATCAACATTTAGATCATTGCAGACTTTCAAATTAATAGATTGGATATCACTTAATATCCTCGACCCCACATATTCTTGATGTAGTTCCTTGTTGACATCTTTTCGCAAATCGTCAACCGATTGACAATTGTTACGCCTGCGCTTCGACATATTTTCAGCTTTTCCTAGTCAGAAATGATTTCGGCTTTCCCCAGTCAGAAGTCATGGGAAATACTATTATTATGCATATTAAGCAATCTCGATTGCAATTGGCTAAGAACTTACCTACACTGCTATAGGTGACATATCATATAATTGTCCATGCAAAATTGTAAATAAAAAAGTATAATGGCAGACTCTTGCTCGATATTTGCAAGCGTTTTGCAAACTTTTTTCGCTTGAATTATTGAGTATTAAGACGTAAAAATAAACGGAATGGGTTAAATTGTCAGTGAGGAGAGTTTTCATCGAGTTTTTTCGGGAGAAAGACGAATGCGACACTGCGGACATTACGTCATTCGAGTGTGATAGTGTGATGTCGTGTGTCGTGTGATGCATCACAATATTGCTAGCCAAAGTAGCAAAAAATATATCCCGCATCAGATGGCGGAAATAGTGTTGTTGTGTTGGTTAAAATAGCAGAATTAGCAAAAATCAGAGCAGTCGTTTAACTTACAAATAAGTAAGTCTTAAAATCGTAACTTGTGACTTCCATAATTAACTGGCTATTTGTGATAAATTTTGAGATATTTGTGACGCTGTAATTGTGGGATAGAGATACAAGTCATGCAAATGACTCAAGTACAACTGAAAAAAAATCATGTTTCTTACTGCAAACACTTTCTACTTTTAGGGAGTAATCTTAATGTTGACGCCGTCATTGCAGTGGTAGACAAGATAGAAAATCAATTTAGCAATTTTTCGACTTAGCACAACAATAAATAGAATCTTCTAAAGAAAGATTTGACAGTGCGATAACATTCACTCCTGTTATGCAAAGTAGACACTTATTTATTTTGACTATTTATATCAAAAGACACGTTATTAGATATAAGAACAAAGATTTATTATTATTTTGCATAACTTTATTTGAATTTGAAGTACACCTGCGATTAAAATATTTTTGCTGAAAGGGAAGTGAAGTTTGATTTATTGCACGAAGATAAGTAAAACCTATACTTTCTATATTGAATGACGCAAAACTTTGCTAAATAAGGAAAATATTTCTGCCTGATCGAAATAATTCAAAATCTTGTCATTGCTGTATTGTAACAGTATTAATCATACCATTTAAACTATAAAGAAATTTTGTCTCATAGTACGTGCATGATTAAAAGGACAAAGTGTTCTTGATAGCACAAGACAAAAACCCAAAAGATACACTGTGAAGGTTTGTATATCAGATCATGGCACTTTTACAGCAATGCAAACGAAGTCGAGTCTGTGATGTGTACATAATGCGCACAAGAATGTCAACTAACTTCATATATAGACGTTTATGCTTGCATACTTATAAAGAATCCGCGCTGTTCACCATTAACCACGAATCAATGCCATACAAAACATGTTTTATAAAATTTTTGTCGAGGCTATTTATACTGTTTTGGCAGTTGTCAACATCATAGAGATATCGAAGGTTTTATAGACAATTAATTGAAGCAATTACGTTTGCAGAATAGCTTATAAGCAATGAAAAAAATTTGAGTTAATAAATAACAAAGAACTTAAGATATTTACAAAATGATCAATTACTTATCAGTCGAAGATGCAAAATTTTTATTTCATAGCAGTTGCTTCTAGCAGGATTTAAAATTAATCATTCCTCCCTATTAAATGAGCTTCGACAATCTACCGTTCAACTTCCTAAACAATTCCAAACCTGAAAGCTATATTGGCTTATAAATCAGTAGCATTACCAAAAATACAACTATCACGTTAGGCAAAAATAAAGTGAAGAGACTTAAATATTATGCTGCGTACTTACTTCTCTTCTAGACTTTGATGAGTGAACTCTATTAATGACAGTTCAACACATTATAGTTCCACCGAAACCTAAACCAATCATTTCGCCAATTAGCAAAAAACACGCGTGATCTGCACGATGTCCTGAAGCAATCACAATTGTCTTTTTAATTGTCACTCGTGCATGTAACTCACACGGATTGCAAAGTAAAAATAAACTTACTGTCAATAGATTAAGAACGTGCAGTAGCAATGATAAAAATTTACTTTAGTGTTGTTCCTCTAATTCTGTGTTAGAAGAACTGGATTATATATGGTTGAGTGGTGCTAATTATTATTCTGTAATGCACCTGATATTTAGAATGCATTATCTAGATCATATAAAGGAGAGTGTCGTTTACATAAAAAATAAAGTTTTTGATTGATGATCGTGCATTTAACAACTTTCATGGTCAAACATATGTCTAGCTAAAATGCTTTATACTTCTTGTTAAGAGCCAATACTCAGCAACCTGTTGGGGCTTTTGATTTGAGAATCGCTGGTGCTACAGAAAATTGTAAAAAATGAAAGACATTTATCCAAATGATAAAAATGACGCTATAACTTGCATGGAACTTCTTTTCAAAGTAATCACTGATGCAATTAAAGCAAAACAAATTAAAATAATTTTACCATTTCCATTTCTCTTGTTTTTATGCACTCGTTAACCGTTGTAGATGTGAGTCAGTATGAGTCGAAGAAATTTTTGGTTTAATAAACATCCTAAAAAGAGGATTTTATGCTCATTTTATGCTAATTATTTATAACCATTCATATTCAACTCCAAATTTTAAGCAAACAATTGTACATTACCATCATAATCATGAATTTGCTTAGAGATGTCGTGTCTACTCTATTCATTTCTCCATTATCAAAAAACAATGTTGCTGAAGCGGAAATGAAGCCGTTTTATTGCAAATACTTAAAACAGAGGACTAAAGTTAGCTCTTCATTACAAGCAAAACAATCAATTGATGAGCACTTAAAGAAGTAAAGTGAGGTGGGAAAATGATAAAAGTGAAGATGAATCTTTTAATGGTATCCATGTTGTTGCTATCAAATACAGTCAGTGCATCGGTTAAGAAAAAGAACTCAAAGGTTTGGAAGCATTAACTTTGTGAAATGGTTTAAGTTAAAATTTCGGTTCAAGAATCAAATGCATATTTTAACGCAATAGTCCTTTTTTAAGGTCGCGAGGAATTTTGTTCGTGTAGTTTATTTATACTTCTTGAGTATTAAAATTATAATATGCAAACTATTTTGTATAAGCAACCAGCAAATAGATTCATGTGAATTAAGGTGGAAAAGGGCGTTGTTCAACTCGGGACATCTTAAAGAAATTTACAAAAACGAGATCATATTATCCGTTGAAAAATACATTAGGATAGGAGAGACTTCAACGCAAAAGAAAGAGGCTGTTATTATTCCTTCAACCATATTGAATTTGAGCCAGAATTCAATATTTATAAAGCCTTCACTGTTTAGGTAAAAACATTTTTCTCTACCGTTTTCAAGGCTCAATGTTCAGCAAGCTATGGAATTCCTGGGGTTCGAGGAGTTCCTGGTGTACCTGGAGCAGCCAGACGACACGGTTTAAAAGGAGACGTTGGATCTAAAGGAGAAAAAGGTGAACGAGGTAATCCTGATCCTCCGTTGAAAAATGACATGAGCTTTGCAATCTATAATCGCTAAAGTACCAAAAAAGGGGACTTCCTTAGAGAGAAAAATAGGAATAGTTGATATGGTTTGGTATTTTCTGTCATCTATTTACAAAGTGTTGTTTCTTTACTATGACTTTCATACAATATATGTTGACTCATTATGGAAGTCATTTCAAAATTTTCACAATAATCTTAGTACTTAGGTCAACCATCTTAGTCAAAAAATTATATTGAGTTTGTCAGACTGGCATTTCAGTCAATTGAATTCCACAGCGACTTTACATCAATATTGCATCCGATATTTTTTCGACGATGAAGTGAGCAAATTAAACGTTTTAATCAATTATGTTTCAGCAGACGTTTATATTAGCTCTTCTGCGAGACGATGATTTATGAAGAAGTCATCAAACTGTTGAAAAATCTTTATATTAAAACTCCTATAATGAAATATTATGGCGACATAAGTTGGCTACTCGAAAACAACAATCGGGCGAGAGTTTAGACGCGTTTTTGCAAAGATTATAATTTTTGTGATGGTGCATCTAATCAATATCGTTACGAAGATGTGCGAGATGCGTTTATAGCAGGGATATTTTCAACTAATATTCACGAACGCCTTCTAGAGAATAAAACACAACATCTTCTGACAGCTTTTGATCCTACCCGAGCTTTAGACACGGCTCAGAGAACCTCGGAAACTTACGCAGATAGAACTCCCAATCTTGGATTGCAACCAACCTCCAAGGAATTATCAAACAATGTTGCTCACCCACGACGGCTGGTGCCCACAATAGTATTAATAAATATAGAAACTATAGATATAATTTTCCCAAGAATAATTATAACAAACAAAATATATTTCTGAAAAAACCAAATTCGATGAAGTTTCATTTTTACGATACAAATTTAATGAAGAAAAAGTTGCAATTTTCTAACACTCGTGAGTAAAGCTTTTTGATCGACGATTTTTGTAGACAAAAAACGTTAATGATCAGAGAGCACAACGGTGATACTAACATGTATCCTTATCAAACGTCACAACTAGCCCAAACACCAGAATCAGTTACAGGTATTTTTGATGGTCTGGGAATCATTAATCGTTATGGATCTCAACCACACATGGTTTCGCTTAAGCCTACAACTGAAGATAAGAAGAGGTGGAGACAGCCACCGGTGGAATACATTTTATTGAATATTATGACACTTTAATATTTCAAACTTATTGCAAATTCATCATCAAAATTTATTTACAAGCTAACTGTGCCTTTATGTATATGTGGGTGATTGCATTATTTCAAAGAAAGTGTGAGTACGGAAAAGTGAATTTGATGGGGAGAATTAGTTGATTGTGTGGCTTTAAAATCAAATATTGACAGCTCCTTGCTGAGCTTAATCTCATCATTAAGTTCTGTTTAGTATAAGATTTACAATAAAGAATGGTTCTATTAGTGAAAGTCAGTTTCTGTTTAAGTGTGTGTTTGAGTAAAGTGTTTTGTAGTTGTTAAATATAAGATTTGTAATGTTTAAATTACATTTGTCGAAAAATGTTTTGTGAACGGTTCTGTTGTTGTTTTGAGAAGTTATGTCTCGTACTTTTTGGCATTCTAAAAAGTGTTATGAAATTTCGTTTGGCATGTTCGGGAAGTAGAAATTCAAGGCATCTCTCAGCTTTACTAATGTAGGATTTGTTAAAGCCAGGCTAAGTAACTTGATAAAGGAAACATTAAAATACATTAAAACGAAAGAAGGGGAGATTTTATCTAAAATGGAAGTGAATAAACGACCTTTTTAGTATCAAAAATAATGATGATTTTTATAATAGTGTCAATCAAAAAATAATGAATACTATCAAAGTAATGAATAATTTCTCACAAACTTCAACCACCGACCAAAATCAACCTAAAATATGGATAAAATTATCATCAAGGCTCACAAGACTCAAAAATTACTATAATTGTCTCAGAAAACGTTGCAAATGTCTCGTCAAACTGGTGTAATTTATCATTATTGAGTTAAGCATGGATCTTTTTCGGAGTATGTTTCTCTATACTTCATAAAATGATCGACAGGTTAAATGGATTTTGACACCACATGCTTTGCCAACTTTTTTGTTTCTCATTCTAATATAAAATTCGTTTTTAATATATAGCAATAGTGCTTATACGAAACTATAAATTCGTTATTATTTTGTAGATGTCATTTGCCTTAATGGATGAAATTATTTAAAAATCATAGTTATATATAGAAATAAAGCTAAATATAAGTAACAGCCAGGAGTGAAATCAATCAAATATAATAGATGAGCATAGCATACATGACGTAGCTACTGTATTTTTATAGATTTTTTATAAATTGCCAAAAAGTACTACGTTTAGCCATATAGCAGTGTTCTTGTATCGTTTTTTGTTATTATAAGCAATGAAATATAAGCAATAACTGGTTGTTTAAACCAAAACAAATAAAAGTAACGCAGAGACCGGCTGCATCAAATTTTTAAAATACTTTTCCTTTCTCTAGATATTCGAGTACAGTCTGAGCAAAATGCCACACAAACATGTTAATGGTTCAGATTTTTTACATTTTAGCATAAATGATTCTTATTGTTGAGGAAACGATCGCAGTATATAGAACCTGTTGCTATAAATTATTAAAGAAACAAAAAAATTGTTAATGTGTATGAGCCATGGACAGGCTTATGAAAACCGAGGAGAACTTTGAAATTAACACTATGGTTCAAAAAGCAAAAGGGCTACTGAACTTTAAAAAATAATAATTTTCCTTGTAGCTCTAATAATTAGTTTATTATCATGCGTGAATAGGATTCTGAGATAAAATGGAAACTTAATTACTAACTGTAAATACGAAAACGTCTGACAGACAAGTTTTTTGAGGATGTACTTTGCGCACCCATTGATGATGCAATTATGCAAATGCAATAAATTTGTCATACTATAAATCATAACTGACATTCCTTTGGACCTGTCCTTTTTCAAAATTGACAAAATCACAGTTTTAGCTCGTTATTAAATAAAGTGGTATAAAGCAAAAGCAGTTTGAAGCTTTAAAATAAAGTATTTACTTCCTTGTTAAATAGAGCATTAAACAATAATTATTGTCGTTTTTATTTATCTTTTTTTAGAAGAAGATCGTAAAGATTTTTTCATGTCTAAACGCTATATCAACTTAAGTAAAACAAACTTCAGTGTGAAATGTTGACAAAATCTGGGAAAATGCATGAAAAACGAAAATTACATCGTGTAATTTTCGTCCAAGTGCTGAGTTCAACACTTGGCTTAAATTTCAACCCGGTTGGCTGAAACAGGGTTGAACTCAGCACTGCATGGAGTTGAGCTCAGCACGAGGTTGAAAATTTGCCATACAATTGTGTGTCTGATATAACAAATATATCGTATAAAGACTGGGAGGAAATTTCAACTCACTTAACGAGACTCGTTTCATCTCAGGGTTGAAAAAGTGACCTTCCTGTAGCTCTATTAAGCAGTCCAATAATTATTAACGAACCAATAAGAATCTAGAATAAAACTGAAGCACGGGTCTTATTACGAACATAAACTAAAAATAGGAGACTAGTACTCATATTTTACCATTACTTTGTGATGGTTACAGGAGCTTGATAATCTAAACAATAACTATAAAGTGTTAGACAATGGATTGTTTCCATCTCTTGGTGTTATTATTGGTATGGCAGATTTCAAGTATTGATATGTCTAAAGTGAACAAGGCAAGATATATTGAATGTATTGTTTTAAAAAACTATAATGAAAACGAAGCATTTTTGATTTAGTAGCCGCGTCGTATTTGTAGGAATTGTTTTTCTTTGTAATCATGTTCAAGTAGCAAAGATATATAAACTTTTTTATAAATAAATGTTTTTAATTGTCAAATACTCGCTCAAAGAAGTTTAATTTCCACTGAAGTAAAACTTTCATAGGAGAAATTCCCACGTAAAAACTCTTTTTTTAAACTTCTGCTCAGACATGTTTTTACATATCTCGACATGTTCTGGCGGTTTATTTGTCATGTTTTATCGGATCAATGATTAATGGCGTCAAACCAAAAACGTAGACACGACACCAGAAATTTGCAGCGTAATCAAGTTTTAAAAACTTCATACACTTGCTATTTATTATGTTATGGTAAAATGAATATTAATAAAAAAGTCCAAACATGTTGAATATTTGGTTTAATTTTAAGGACAAGTTTGTTATTAACTAGGGTGTTCTAAAAGACGTAATAACAAGATGACATGAAGAAGAATATAAGAATGCATGCAAATTACTGGGCAAAAATCTTCAATAAATATTATACAAACTATTTTTTTCCATTCTCAAGTGTAAAAACTGCGTAAAAAACAAGTGAGTGGTATCACAGAATATTATTACAAAAGTGAGAAATTTCTATGGAAAAAATCTTTATTCAAAAGAGTTCGTAGTACTTAAAAATAAGTATAAAAAAGGAAAAGGCCAACAACTTATAATGTATCATCTATTAATTTCCACATATTGATTTATGATTTAGTGTGTATAGCTCAAGTAACCATATGTAAACTTACATGTCGTACTAGTAATTGTAAAACCAAAGAAGTTAAATAATTTATTTCCTGTTATTAAGGACAATTGTTCAACCAGCTGCTGTGGAACAACAGGCATCCCAGGTGTCCCCGGTGTCCCCGGTGTACCTGGTGCTCCAGGAAGAGACGGGGTAAAAGGAGATGCTGGATCACCAGGAGAGAAGGGAAATCCTGGAAAAAGTAATTTAAAATTTACTAAAGGTGAGAAGGGAGATCCAGGAAGTTCCGGGTTACAAGGTATGAAAGGTGAAAAAGGAGAATCTAACGCTCATGCAAACGATGAAACATTTTTGTCTACATGGAAGCAATGTGCTTGGCGGAGACACGACGGTAAATTTCATGGG